GAAATACTCCGTTACTAAACTTCCCGCCTTTCTTCGGAAATCTTCGACGAGGCGATTGTCTGGAAAATTCGATTGGAACGGCGGGAAAAGTTCGATCAAGCATTGTCGGCGTTGACCTCGTCCCGCCATTGGGAAGCGATCGAAAAGCCCATCGAAATGGATGCGGCGATCGATTTCCTGAGGGATCGCCGGTGCGTTTTCGGCTCGGGAAATGAGAATCTCGAGAGAAATCTCGACGGCCCGTTCGATTGCGGGAATCGCGGAAATACTTTCCCGTCATTCGCCGAACTGCGAAATTTCGGCGGAATATCGCACGAGAAGCGAAACTCCAGGCGCTCGGGTTCGGAAGAATTTAATTAGTCATTAGGGAACTTAGATGACGATTCCGTGATATTTCACGTGTTTGAAAGGTAGCTCGAAAAGGACACTTCGCGGCGATACCATATGTGGTAAATCATTTTGATTGTGCACTTTTTACCCTGTCGGAGTTTGTCATACACACCAAATTCCTGTTCCTAGGAATGGGCGAAGAAAAGTCCTGAAAGGGCTTGTCCTCTCGAGAAATAAACCTAAAGGAAATTGTATCGTGAATCACGTTTCTCGAGACGTCTAGAGAATATGATCGATGAGTTCTTTTGACGTAAGAAATGCAGAGATCTAGCTCGATCGTCAATCACGATTCCTGATATCTTTCGGAATCCTTGTACGTTTGAGCCTCTGGTATCGGAACACGAAAGGAAATCTCAAAATAAATCTAAGTGTGTTACCAAAAAAAAAATAAATAAATAGAGAAAAATTATATTAATCACGTCAGTTGAGTTCAGAAAAAAAAAAAAAAGAAAATGACCGCGTGGGACTGAAAGGACTCGCTCAATCATCAATGAAAATTCCTAATATCTTTTAAAATCGTCACGCATTTCTCATCCTTGGCCCTAGAACCCTCGATAAAAACTCAAGATGACTTGTCCTCTTGAATAATAAATATAAAAAGAATTATACGTCCTCTCGCATTAGTCGAGGGTCTCGGAAAAAATGATCGACGAGCCAATGGGCTCGTTTGGTGCACGCGGCAACGGGTCGTGGACCGCAGGGGATGCAGGGATCCATGCTCGATCGTCGATCACGATCCCCGGAGATCTCGGGTGAGTCGTAAAGACGACGTCTCACGACTCGACCCCCTGTCCGGTCCCAGCTGTGTCAAATGGCGGACCCGAATAGACCGGAATTTCGTCTCCAAACTCTGGGAGAAGCGAACCCTCCACCATGCGAGTATCGCATACGCAAAGAGACGCATAAATTTATGCGCCGTTTTGCCCAAACTTGCGATTCTCCCGTTCTTTCGTACGACTCGCTCGAGACCGCGTGCAAACGAATCTTCGATATATTCGCTGTTTTATTTCCGATACTCGAGAGAGAATTTTAAGAGACTTCCAGATTTCGATTCGCGCAAGTACCAATGAACAGCGGAAAATTCCCAGTTCTCTGCGATTGTTTTAAAATCTGCGATCTATTTGCTATTTTATTTCCGATAATTGAGAGGGAATTTTAAGAGACCTCCAGATCACGATTCGCGCAAGCACTAATGAAGAGCGGAAAATTCGCACAGCTTTCTGTCTTTCATTTAAAATCCGCGATCCATTCGATATTTTATTTTCGATACTAGAGAGGGAACTTTTAGAAACTTCCAGATTTCGATTAGCGCAAGTACCAATGAACAGTGGAAAATTCCCAGTTCTATGCGTTCGTTTCAAAATCTGCGATCTATTTGCTATTTTATTTCCGATAATTGAGAGGGAATTTTGAGAGGTCTCTAGATCTCGATTCGTGCAAGTACCAATGAACAGCTGAAAATTCGCAGTTCTCTACGTTGCTTTTAAAATCTGCGATCTATTTACTATTTTATTTCCGATAATTAAGAGGCCTCCAAATCTCGATATGTGCAAGTACCAATGAGCAACGGAAATTTCGCACAGTTCCCCGCATTATTTTTAAAATCTGCGATCAATTCGCTAATTTCTTTCCAATAATTGAGAGGGAATTTTAAGAGACCTCCAGATCACGATTCGCGCAAGCACTAATGAAGAGCGGAAAATTCGCACAGCTTTCTGCCTTTCATTTAAAATCCGCGATCCATTCGATATTTTATTTTCAATTCTAGAGAGGGAACTTTTAGAGACTTCCATATCTCGATTCGTGCAAGTACCAATGAACAGCGGAAAATTTGTAGTCTTCTGCGTTGCTTTTAAAATCTGCGATCAATTCGCTAATTTTTTTCCGATAATTGAGAGGGAATTTTAAGAGACCTCCAGATTTTCATTCGTGCAAGTACTAATGAACAGCGGAAAATTTGTAGTTCTCTGCGTTGCTTTTAAAATCTGCGATCAATTCGCTAATTGCTTTCCGATAATTGAGAGGGAATTTTAAGGGACCTCCAGATCACGATTCGCGCAAGTACCAATGAACAGCGGAAAATTCGTACAGCTTTCTGCGTTTTTTTTTATCTGCGATCCATTCGGAATTTTATTTCCGAATCCTGGAGAAAGACTTGAAGAAACCTCCATATTGTTACATAAACTGCAGTAAATTCGTGACATATGTGTTAGAAGAGGACACGATATATTAAATGTATATGCCCGTAGATTCATTTAATATACACGCCTTTTTATTTTAGAACAGATTAAAGATATCAGAAGACTCGAAACTTGTTCATGCATTTATAAAGATTGTATACTGATTTAAACCATCGTTTAAATATTTATATTGCATATAGTTTAAAAACATGTTTAAAAGTGCAATATTTGATTGGTGCAGATATCAGGTGTATTTCAGGGTTACATGAATTGTATTTCTTTTACATGTCTGTCATACGATGACTTCATATTTCTCTGCACGGAAATAACTGGCCGATACAGAAGGGCGAATTGAAACGAAAAAATACTTTTCTATTTCCCTTCAAATTTTGTTAATTAATCTTGAACCTTTGATTACGTTGATTTAATACATTTAATTGAGATCATGAAAAATGTCAAGCTATCTCTGCTTGACCGTCTTCTCAGTTCCAAAGTCACTTGATTTAGAACTAAAATCCAGGACTTATGGCTGAAATAAATCTTGGAAATAATGTTTCTTTCTTTTAATATTTTAGTTGGAATAAACTCTGAGGTTCCGAGACAAGTAGTCCTCTGCTCCCAGTCGGCATTTTCACCTTTCGTTCCACCTTTAGCTATCCATTATTCACGGCGAGTACCATTCACGGGAAACCGTCGTTCTTCTTTTGGCTATTCCCTGACCAGAAAAGTCTTTTCTATCGTGCTTCATAAACCATGGCACAGCGGCTCGTTAGACTTTATTACGAGCCTATGAATAAGAAACGATCGAGAGACCGTTCGCCACCGACGTTCCTTCACTTCTCTTTTTACCTTGAAGACTATTTCTACGTTTTGCACTTCCGCAGGGTCACTGTACATTTCCATTCCCTGTTCATTGATAAGTCATCTCAAGAGATCTCCAAAGATTTACAGCGAGTATTTCAATCCCGCCGCGAATATTAATATTCATCCCGCGATAGATCGCCTCCTCTGTGTAGCATTTTTTAAACATTCGCGACCCTTGTTAATCAAATGTTGACGATTTCATAACGCACGCAAGTTCATCCCACTGCAAGAGATTCAGTACAAGCTACATGACAAACATCCAAAAAGATATTTCAACTTCGAAATATTAAAATTTACATCCTAATTATGAACTCCCCATTGGTTGGAAATAAAAATAAAAATGAACTAACAGTCAGAAGAAATGTCTTTCTTAAAATATTGTATTCATTGATTTGAGACGCTCTTTAATTTACCCGGAATCGTTGGTGAATTCTGAAAATGCCTGTTTGATTGAAATTCTAGTTTTGGGTGTTTCATCACAACGGAAAATCATGACAATTTCATTTCGTTTCCGCAGGAAAAGATTATCCGACTTGAAGAATTTTCGAAGAATTTCACAGCGATGAAATTCTTCTTTTAAAGTGTACCAGAAACTAGGAGGTGCGGGAAATCTGAATTCTGAAAATGCCTGTTTAGTTGAAATTCTAGTGTTGGGTGTTTCATGACAACGGAAATCATGACAATTTCATTCCGTTTCCGCAGGGAAAGATTATCCGACTTGAAGAATTTTCGAAGAATTTCTCAGCGATGGAATTCTTTCCTCGAAGTGTATGAGAAATCAGGAGGTGCGGGAAATTTGAATTCTGAAATTTGCTTGTTTAGTTGAAATTCTAGTGTTGGGTGTTTCATGACAACGGAAATCATGACAATTTCATTCCGTTTCCGCAGGGAAAGATTATCTGACTTGAAGAATTTTGGAAGAATTTCTCAGCGATGGAATTCTTCCCTCAAAGTGTACCAGAAACCGGGAGATGCGGGAAATCTGAATTCTGAAAATGCCCGTTTAGTTGAAATTCTAGTGTTGGATGTTTCATGACAACGGAAAATCATGACAATTTCATTTCGTTTCCACAGAGAAAGATTATGCGACTTGAAGAATTTTCGAAGAATTTCTCAGCGATGGAATTCTTCCCTCGGAGTGTACCAGAAACCAGGAGGTGTGGGAAATCTGAATTCTGAAAATGCCTGTTTAGTTGAAATTCCAGTTTTTTATGTTTTTGACAAAGGCAAATCATGACAATTCCATTTCGTTTCTACAGGGAAAGATTATCCGACTTGAAGAATTTGTGAAGAATTTCTCAGCGATGGAATTCTTCCCTCGGAGTGGACGAGAAATCAGGAGGTGTGGGAAATCTGAATTCTGAAATTTGCCTGTTTAGTTGAAATTCCAGTTTTTGGTGTTTTTTGACAACGGAAAATGTTGCCATTTCATTTCATTTCCACAGGGAAAGATTATTCGACTTGAAGAATTTTCGAAGAATTTCTCAGCGATGGAATTCTTCCCTCGGAGTGTACCAGAAACCAGGAGGTGCGGGAAATCAATCAATTCTTGAGACTTATACTCACTCCCTGGAGACGTCGTGCTCGGGATCGTCCCGATATCGAAGTCGCAGGTTCGTCCTGATGTCGTTGCTGTCGTTGACGTGTCGCACGCCGCTTAGTTCCGCCGGAAGAAGTAAGGCGACCTCTGAAATATGAGACCTGAAATTACTAAACCGTATTCCCCGAGATTTCCGGGGAAGAAGAGGAGAAGAAAGCACCGGGACAAGATGTTCCTTTCCCCCTATGAATTCGGGATGCAATTTCAAGCCCCGCGAAATACTGCTCCCACCGGCGCGGCCTTCTTCGAGGAAAGTGTCGCATAACTTTTTACGACCGCCTCTCGATTTGTAACAATAGGTTAATTCACAATTTAATGAGCGCGGGTGACTTCATCAAGCTTATCGTTCAACAGAGATCGTTCCCAGGTATCAAGAAGTACTAATTAAGGGCGTACGGAATTTTTGATAATGTCCTTTTATTTAAATGTGATACCAGTACTACATATCAAGTTACAAAATGATTTCATTTTTAAATTTCTTGCGACTTGTTTGCTAGGTTCTGGATTCCATTCCTGGATTAGTACGTTGGAAAAGGAAGAAAAAGGAGCGTATTGGAGATTTTAATATGACGGGGATTTAGACAAAAGTGATTTTCAGTTTAAAGGAAAGATATACATATTAGGGGGACCAGAAAGAAATCCATTATTTGTTGTACTTACTACTAAGATAAAAAATAATGGATTTATTTAAGATCCCCTAACATGACCATTGATCAGGACGCGACTACGTCAAGGTCTACGTGTTCATTAAGGACCTGGATCCTTCAGAGCTTCCCCGCACCCCTCCCCAGCTAGGATGCACTTGCATCTCCAACCCTCCGCAAAATACCTATCCTATGCGTGATTGCAGCTCCTTGAGGCGTTTCCTTCCCAGCCGCAATAGAGGCACTTATCCATCGGCTCCTCACGCACCATGACGCCGGACCAGCAGACGTCGTAATCCCACGTCGGGGTCAAAGGGTTGCCACAACCAGTGGGACCATTGTGCAAGGAGCGGCTAATTAGCAGATAGTCCGTGCCTTCGAGATCCGGAATTGCGAGAGGGAACAATTAGCCCTAATCCCGGGTCGCCGGTAGGATTCCAGGGACATCGGCGCCGAGGAGAAGTCGCCTCCTAGGGGCCGCGATGTCGCCCTCTGAAGACTCCCTCGACGGGCCTGCGAAGCTCCTCTCGGGCTCCGAATTAAGGACGGGAGAACCTCGTGTTAAGATAATCGTCTATCGATTCGACCTCCTTCGGTCGGGCCGAGTGCTCTTCCGCCCTACATCCTTCCGCGCGGTCGCCATTAGCGTCCACTCCGACCATGGTTATGGCCGCCCATGGGAGGTCAAGTCGGAGCCTCCTGGATTTTCGGGTCAGTGGTTGAGAAACGTCCCCCAACCAGACGGCATCGGGGAACGGAAGTCCTTGCTATTCCCAGATCTCTTGGACCAATGGACGTAACCGGGTATCCCCGATGTATATAAAGCTGGAATTGCCACTTTAGCAAACTTCAATAAAATTCGTTGCAAAATTTATTGCTGATTCATTGCTACTTTGTTGCACAAGAAAACCAATTTTTTGCCCTTATACTTTTTCGAAAAATATCAGCTTTATATAAAGCTAACGCTGCCACAATAAAAAATAATTATTAAGTCAATGTTCATCGATGAATTATATACCAGAATTTATTGTTTATTAATTGCTCGCAGAGAAATCGAATTTCAATTTTTTTGCTCATCCGCAAAGGGGTGCATCGCCACCCCCTAGTGCTGATCGCAGGACAGAACCATGAAAAACGGGAGAATCGAATTATTTCTTCGCGTGGGAATTATTTGCTAATTAATTGCTCCGAGAAGAATCAATATCTTCGTAAAAATACAATTTTCAAACCTACATTAATTAGCGATTAATTCCCCCGTGAACAAATAGTTCGATTCTTCCATTTTTTACGGGGCCATGCAGGGGCGACATAAGCGGAGCTGGCCTACCACCTTAGGGGTTGTGCAAAAAATTCGAAATTAGGTTCTTCTCGGAGCAATTAATTAGCAATTAATCCCCACGTGAAGAAATAGTTAGATTCTCCCATGTTTTTCATGTTTCTGTCCTGCGATCATTACTAGGGGCGGCGATTCACCCCTTTAGGGTGAAAAAAGTATAAGGGCAAAAAATTGGCCTAAGGGTGAGTAAAAAAATTGAAATTTGGTTTTTCTGCGAGCAATTAATTAGCAATAAATTCTGGCATATAATTCATCGATGAACATTGACTTAATAATTATTTTTTATTGTGGCAGTGCTAGCTTTATATAAATCTGACATCGCCAGCATTTTTCGGAAAAGTATAAGAGCAAGAAATTTCTTTCTTGTGCAATAAAATAGCAACGAATTAGCAATAAATTTTGCGACGAATTTTATTGAATTGTGCTAAAGTGGCAATTCCAACTTCATATACATGTATCCCCGGGTCCCGTTCGCGCTTTATCGCGCTGATTAGAAAAAGTTTCCCGGGACCTGAGACGCCGCAGTACGATCTTCCATCCGATCCCACCAGCTCCGATTTCGAGGTTCATCGGCGTGAGAAGTGCTGACACGTAGCCGACGAGGGGAAAGCTTTGAGATGATTCGCGGTGGAGTTGAGACATTCGAGGGGAGTTGCCGAGAAAAATGTTGCGAGGGTCGAAAGTTCTTGCGCGACCCTGAAGAGGGTCTGACGAGACCTTATCACGACCTAAGACACGCTTCTTGACCACGACCTCCCTATGTCGGCTCCTGGCTCGATGATGAGCTCGACGATATTCTCCACTAGCTTTTAAATGTTTATCCCGAACTTCGAAAGCAGACTCTTCGTATCCCAATCATCGACATAATGCATTTTCTAGGATTGATTGATAGGTAAATCGGTGTCTCTGTAATTTCAGCCGGGGTGGCGTAATGATCTGCAATTAACGGCGTTGAGCTAGTTTTTGCTCGGTTGTTTATTCCCGGTCAACCCTTGATTGGAATTTTCGAAATTCGTCATTGGATTCCAATTCAGCACCCCCGAAAACCCCCGAGTACAAAAAATTAACCCCCAAGTCCACCTTCAACTTTTGGAGCCGGGCCCGGAAACGCACGCATACACGACAAAATTGTTGCTTAACACATTCGCAACCGCTGACGTGAATTCACGTCGTTTCAAGTTCTATTCCTGGTTGCCGCTGACGTGAAATCACGTCTTTTCAAGTTCTATTCCTGATCGCCGATGACGTGAATTCACGTCATTTTAAATTCAATTCCTGATTGCCGCTGACATGAATCACGTCCATAACGATACACGATAGAAGTTTGCGGGAACCAATTTCAGAATTTCATTATTTTCGCCGGTACTCAGTATTTGAAACGGAGGAAAATTTGCCGTTCGCGAATGTGTTAATATCCTGGATGACACAATTTAAGGAAACGAAGGACTTCAACCTCCAGACCATGCAGAAGAGAGAAGATAAAAGGCCAACGCCTTTAAAGCGTCTTGGACTTTCCTGTTTCTACGTTTGTTGAATAAATTCCCGTTGGCTCCATTACTTGCCTGGTCGGGCGGAAGTCTTCATCAATTATTCATTTCAGGACTTATCGGAATAATTATTATCGATCCCTGGCGGATTCCCTCGGGAGACCCGAGGCTCTCCAATCCTATTTCTTCCGCATCGCGTGCATCCTTGCAGGTTTCATTAACCTCACGAGTCCTGATTACCTTCCGCGGGTCTCCACGTAAAGCTTCGCTCTCGGTATTTCGGGATGGGCGCGTTTTGGCATATTACTCACTGCTTCCATAATGTAATATTCAGTAATATTCAGTAATACGCGGTTCTTGTCGGTTAACGACGCCGTTATTCCCACTGTAACGTTTCCAGGACCGACGAGTACCGACCGAGATGAGAAAATTGCATTCCGGGCCCCATAAAGCGGACCTCGTTTAATCGGATTAGAAGGACTCTTTTTGCGGAGAGCTTTTTTCCCTCCTTGCCATTCCGATGGATCGTATGACTCTGCTTGATCATTGTGAAGTAACGAATTCGACGCCAGCCCCAGGAATGGCATGAAAGTCGATCCTTATCACCGGGCGTTTGGATGCTGAAAGGATTATGAAGCTCTCCTGACTTCGCCATTACTCGACTCTTCTCTTCCATGGTGTTACTCGCTTGATTCTGCCTGCTCATCGCCAAGTAGAGTGAAGTCGAATGTAAGTGTCAGATACGACCTGTATAGTGATCTTTATCGGTTGAGCACTCTATCGATCCTCTTCCTCGAGAAGATCGTGCGCTTCCTTAGGAGTTATCTTATGGAGATCCATCAACCAGTCTCGTGGGGCGTGGACTTTTCTGAACCTGAAGAGTACCAGGCCCCTCAGGCTCGGAGTAAAGTCAGATAGATTTGTGCTTTGAATATATTTATACAGATATTCTTCAAGAAAATGGTCGAAGGAGTCGAAATTATCTCGGATGTGATGGTACATCTAATCTAATAGAGCAGCTTACGGAATTAAATTTGAAAATAGATACGTAGCCTTGAAGAGGATCGCTTTACCCGAAGATCCTTATTGTTCGACCATTCTATTGATCCTGCCCATCAAGGATATCAGCCGCGTCCAAATGAGTCTATCAGGGATCCATTAACCAGCCTCGAGGTTAATGGAGATCTTCATAAGTTCCTCTAAAAATGGTATCTCTTCGGGTTCGCATCGAAATGAGATGGATTTGTTCTTCGAGTATGTCTAGACGTACTTCGGCAAAATCCTGGAAAATGTTGAAATTGCACGGGGAGTTGTACATTCGATACGTCGAGAAAACTCGATGAATCAGGATCACATGACTTGGAGTGTTCTATAATTTTGTGCTAGGTCCTTGCAGAATCAAATTTCATATCGAATGTATCCTCTTCAAGAAAAAAAATAACCCAGCCAATTAGCAACCCTTCACATCTTGGATGCATCTTGCCTTTCAAGGACCTCTTCGCACGTACTTATCAACGCTTTCCCAAAAAGTCATTACGCATCATCCAATTCCTGGGACTGGAACATTTCTTCAAGGTATTACAGGTCGCTCTTCGGGGTCGCGTTGAAACAAAACGTGTATTTCCTTTCTTACAAATGGAACGAGTTCCCCAGATTGACCAGCGGGACCTCAGGGTCCGAGAACGACCCCGAAGAGGACCTCGAAGATGACCTGGAAGAAGGTCCTTGCAGAATCAAATTTCGTATCCAATGTATTCTCTTCAAGAAAGAAATAACGCAGCCAATTAGCAATCCTCACATCTTGGATGCATCTTGCCTTTCAAGGACCTCTTCGCACGTACTTATCAACGCTCTCCCAAAAAGTCATTACACATCATTCAATTCCTGGGATTGGAATACTTCTTCAAGGTATTACAGGTCGCTCTTCGGGGTCGTGTAGATAAAACAAAACGTGTATTTCCTTTCTTACAAATGGAACGAGTTCCCCAGATTGACCAGTGGGACCTCAGGGTCCGAGAACGACCCCGAAGAGGACCTCGAAGATGACCTGGAAAAAGGTCCTTGCAGAATCAAATTTCGTATCCAATGTATTCTCTACAAGAAAGAAATAACGCAGCCAATTAGCAATCTTCACATCTTGGATGCATCTTGCCTTTCAAGGACCTCTTCGCACGTACTTATCAACGCTCTCCCAAAAACTCATTACACATCATCCAATTCCTGGGATTGGAACATTTCTTCAAGGATTACAGGTCGCTCTTCGGGGTCGTGTAGAAAAAACAAAACGTGTATTTTCTTTCTTACAAATGGAACGAGTTCCCCAGATTGACCAGTGGGACCTCACGATCCGAGAACGACCCCGAAGAGGACCTCGAAGATGACCTGGAAGAAGCCGGAATTGCAGCTCGGTCCCACGATACAGCCTTCCTTCCGGGCTCAGCCTGCGGAATCAGGATCACATAACCGGGATAATTCGCCAATTTTCAAGGATTCCGAAGAGCTGAGCAAGCCCTTCAAGGTGATACCACGTCAGCAGGGATACCGGCTGCAACGAGGCAGGACCACCGTTGGGGGAAATCTCATTTTCCGAGCTCGCGTGTTGGTTTTCCCGGGAACGACCTCGGGGTTAAACGCCCTCCAGTTATGATGCATTCCTTCGGCTTTGATAAAACATTTCCATCGCGGCCGCGAAGTGCTCCCTCGCCTCGACGGGCACCAAAGCCTACGGAAAATGAAAGGGCCCGGAAATATCGTGGGGAATATTTGCCCCTTTAAGGTGATATGAAAGGGTCCTTCTATATATCTTAACGTCAAAATATTTATAAACCTTTTCGCCAAACTAGGTGCACCGAATCATTTGTAACATTAACACATGATTATGGAAAACCCTAAGGAAGAACGCGATGCTCGGGAAATTTCATTTTTCCCAAGAAAATGAGATTTCGGTTCTAGTCTAGGCTAACTAAAAAGAATTTCTATCGAAAAATGAAATTTCACGGGCATCGAGTTCTTCTTTAGGGCCTCCATAATCACGTGTTAATGTTTCTGATAATTCGGTGCACCCAGTTCGGTGAAAAGTTATATAAATTAAAATTTCTTTCGAAAAATTAAATATTACGAGCATCGTGGTTCTTCCTTCGGGCTTCCATAATCACGTGTTAAAGTTTCAGATAATTCGGTGCACCCAGTTTGGAGAAAAGTTTTATAAATATTTTGACGTTTAATATATATATAATGGCCCTTTCATATCACCTTAAGGGGGCTTTTTCTTTTTAAATGAAAGAGGGTGCGCCGCAAATGGCCCCTAAATCCCGCCGCATATTAGCGGGGCGGAATTTCGACGAGGCATTTTTACAACCCGCAGGGAATTTCGAGAATCCAGGACGCCACCCCGGAAGGGCTCCTGCTCGATTTTTCCTCGGCGTTCCTTACCCTTCAGGGCGGACTTCGGGTTCCGCTTGTGGCATTTCGTTCCCTGACATCCCCGATGCTGGACCAACTGAGGACAATGTTTCCCGCCATTTTCGGCAGCTCTTTCCACCATCCTCGACCTGGTCTGAGCTCCTGGACCGCATTCACTGTCGCACGTCGACCAGGGACCCCATCCTGAGACCACGCAGTCCAGCACTGGAACATTAATTTACACCCATATTTAGCCAAGAGACGATACCAGAGAAAATGTATAAACACCTGGTCAACAGACGAAAAGATGAATGCAGGGCCTACACGCATTTAATTATCATTCGCGACCGGAAAATTTTTTTCGTTTCAAATACCGAATACCGGCAATAATAATGAAATTCTGAAACTGGTTGCCGCAAACTTGTATCGTGTATCGTCTGGACGTGATTCACATCAGCGGCAATCAGGAATAGAATTTAAAATGACGTGAATTCACGTCATCGGCGATCAGGAATAGAACTTGAAAAGACGTGAATTCACGTCAACGCTCGCGAATGTGTTAACAAAAATTTGATAAATAAAAATATTGCTTATATTGCCATGTCCATTTATCTATGATATAAAAGTTCAATTAAACGTGCATTTTCAGAAATTTTCCGAGTACTATTGCCACGTGATAAAATCAAATTTAGAGAAAAAGAGGTAATGATAACGCCATGTTGGCAAAAACGGTTTATCTATACGATATGTAACGACGGATATGTAATGTTTTATGTCTAATTATCGAATTAGATTTCATATACATTCATAGAATTATTATATAGACATTGGCAACCTGTTTGGAGGGTAGTTTCTCAAACAGGACTCCGGGAAGATTACGAGGTCGTGGAAGAGGGCAGAGTGGGCTTCATCGTAAGGGCGGATTTACAGGGAGGTCCTTGAAGAGAACTCTTGGCCTCCCTCTTTGACGTAACCTCGTAATCGGGTTTCGTAAAAGCTGATCTTCGAAGCGGGAGATGTTGAAGAGAACAGATCCCGGTAGGATACACCTACTCTGCAGGGTGCACAGGATTGGCAGGATCGCCTTATCCTTGGGCGATATTAAGGGGGTAATAGCGTCGAAAGACAGGAAAAAAACCGAGGCGAAAAAGGATGGAGACCAAACAGAGTGTGGAAAAGAACGAACATCCGCTAACCTTCCACCTCTGGCTCTAAACTCACCCTTAAGAGACCTTATTATACTCTGCGAAAAATTTCGTGAAGATTCTTAAGGTTTGTAAATACCTTCTAAAACGCGATTTCGAGGAAGGAGATGCTGGGCTTTTGAAATGACTTAACGAATGCACCTAGTCGTTAATTATCCCCCTAAATGACCTGGTTATATCCTGGGAAAAATTCCTGAAAATTTGTATATTCCAAAAATGGTCGGTTGAGAGTCTTCTCGTATTTTACTTTGCGGAAGGAGTTGGAGGTTTGTAATAATTTGCTGATGGAAGTAGACGTTGAATATTTTTCTATAATTTATTTCACCTGTAAACGATGTTGTTATATCTTGTCATAAGTGTTGGGATTCCAAAGTGACTTAGTAAAGCAACCTAATCGTTAATTTTCCCCGTTAAAGGATCTCCCCTTCAGTGATCTGATTACATCCCAGGTGAAATTCGCGAAAATGTTAAAGTTTCTAAGATGGTCCTCGATTGTCACCTCCGAAGTAATTTTGCAAAAGGACTCGCCTTTACAACAATTTATCGTTGAGTGGATTTAGTTGTTAATTATCCCCTGCTGATAATAAACAATCTCGTCCTCTGACCCGTTGCACCCTGACAAGAATTTTATGAACCTCGCCGGACCTAGTAAATTATGTTTAAAATATTTTCTGACGGAGAAATTTTCAATGTACTGTGGTAATTGTTTGCTAAATGGACCCCGTTTAATAAACTCCCCCTAACAATAGTAGCCCTTCACAGGTTTGCAAACGTCAATCATCGATTGTGTAAACAATGAAAATTCCATTCAAGTCGCGTCATGTCGATCATACATGACTGGCGACGTAAACACCGAAAACATAATGAAAACAAGAGACTGGAGATTATAAAAACGAAAAAGTATTTAACACAATTAAGTGACCTAATTACTTCCTAGCGAAAGTTTCGCGAAGTAAATACTCTTTGAATACCTCGGCGTAAGGAGTTTCCGAGCTTTGTGGTAACTTGTTGGTAAATAGACCTAGTCATTAATTATCCCGACCTAAGTGACCTCATTATATCCCGGGAGAAATTCCCGAAAATCTTCGGGCTTTGTAAACAGACCTCGAATGCCTCCTCGGGAGCCATTTTGTGGAAGGAGTTTTTGAAACTTCACAGTAACTTGGTGAAAGGACCTCGTTAATTATCTCGGCCAAAGTGACCTCACCCTTAAATGACCTCGTCCTTAAGTGTCCTAGTTATAACCTCATGAAAGTTCCACGAAAATCTTCGGGTCCTGTAAATACTCCTTGGAAGGAGTTTGTGGGCCTTTGTGGAAATTTCTTAGCGAATAAACGTGGTCGTTAATTATCCCACCTTAAATCTCTCATCCTTCAGCGATCTCGTTATATCCCGAAAATTTTGCGATAATCATTGAGTTTAATAAAACAGTCTCCGGCATCCTCAGTCAGGAAATTTTCTGGAAATAATTCTCCTCGTGATACATTTTTAGGTTAACTAAAGGCGTTAAGTCGTTGTGAAAGTGTTATATACCTATATATCAAAAAGTAAAAATATTTATAAAACATTTCTCCAAACTGGGTGGATCGAATAATTTGAAACTCTAACACGTGATTATGGAGGTCCTAAGGAAAGTCTTGAAACTCGCGAAATTTCATTTTTTGAAAAAAGTTGTCATTTATCGTAGAGAAGAACCAGAAAACAGTTTTTCTTCGAATAATCGGACTTTTTAAGTTTGAAGACCTTCATTAGGGCCTCCGTAATCACGTGTCAAAGTTGGAAATTATTCGGCGCACCCGGTTTGGACAAAAATTTTATAAATATATTGACTTTTTGATATACATGTGTATATATGTATGACCTTTTCATATCACCTTAATTATCCCACCTTGTCGATTACAGGACACTTCCAGTAAACGACTCGCTCTTGTTTCCTCATTCAGTTTCATTCATTCCCGGATGTGTCGTTCTCGTTTCGAGTAGGGAAAAACCATGAGTGCGGATTTGTAATTCTCAATTTTTTAAACTTTCTTAAATTTCTCGAGTCTCGAGCCAGGAAATGTCACGAAGAGCGCCCGCGTCTCGTCCTTTGGGAGGACCCAAACCGATGTCCAGGAACAAACGTCCCAGAGGTAGAAATTTGGTTAACAATCTCCCTTATACATTTCCTAAAGTCCTAAATAAATAATCCATTGTATCTTTGAACTAGAACACCTCCGCGCCTAGTCTTGAGTTAAATTAAAATTTAGTAAAATCATCCACCGTAAAAACTAGGATCCTAACCTCTGAAGCAGAGGAAAATTCGTCGTATATGTTGTGCACTTTTTTTTCTATTAAACCTTGAAACTAACATACATTACATTCGCTATATTAATTTCTCGATGGATAATACCCAAGTTTCTAGTACAATCTCTAGCATACTTAAATGATTAGAGTTTCGAATTTAGATTTTAATATTGTTTTTCCTTAGGATCTGGTAGATATATCTTAAGGGTTGTATGTTATGCACTTAATCCACTTAACATGCCTTCATTCAAAATCATTTATGAATTTTTTCAGAACTTTCACTTCATTATTTATACAGTAGTTGCGTTTTAATTAGGAAAGGGGAAATAAATACGCTTATCCAATTTTATTTACAGGTCGAAGGTATACTCTGTCCGGTAGAGCTCAGACGGTTCTTTCAACAGTCCTGGAGGACATCATCGAGAAAACCTTGGAGGACGCGAGGAAAATGGCGGAATCGGCCGGAAAAGAACGCGTGTCTATTGAAGAGGTGGAAAAAGCTTTGAGGAAGCTCTGCCAACATCTACACCCGGACGCCACGTTCTTCAGCGATGATATCGGGTCAACAGGGCTAGGATCAGGATCTTTAATAGGGCCTGGCAGCAAGAAGCCAATTTGTCGGAAATAAAATAGTCAATGAACGATCACTGTCACCGCGAGTACGTCTCGTTCGTCCATTTGGCGTTTTTGTAAATTCTGGTGGTAATTATTTCGGTCTCATGTCGATTACTATTGAAAAGAGAAATAAAATGCGTCCGAGGAAGTTTCGTTGCTGTTCATTAATCCTGATTTAATGAATGGTCCTGGAGAATTCCTTTCGATGTTTCTCCCTCTTCGAGGTTCTCTCATTCTCCGGAATGCCCTATTTCCTCGAGGTCCCCTCTTTTTTCAAGGTTCCTTTTTTTTTTCAAAATTTGCTCCCTTTCCGGGATTTCTTCTTTACTCAACCCCTCCCTTATTTTGTGAGGCTCCATTTCTTCAAGGTTTCCTCATTCCTTGAAATTCCTATTTTTCAAGATGCTCCCTTTTTCCGTGATTCCCCTTCTTCAAGGTCCTCTCGTTTGCCGAGATTCTTTTTTCCTGAAGATTATCCCTCCCGTTTATTAAATTCTTCAACATGCTTTCTTCCTACTAGTGGCCCTCCCTCCTGAAGGGTCCCTTCTTCTTCGTCATTTTCCCTCTCTTCAACGTTCGCTCTTTCTTGGATATACCCTAATTCCTAGAGGTCTTCTTTCTCTTCAAGGTTCCTCCACTCCCCGAGATTCCATCTTTCTCGAGATTTCCTCTGTCCAATGTTCTTTCTGAAAGGTTTTCCTGCTTTCTCCAGTGCTCCTCCAGGTTCCCTCTTTCTTCAGGGTACCTCCTACCACCTACCCTCCCTCCGTTGAGATCTCTTCCTCTTGGAGGTCCGGGCAGAGATTAGTTGTCCGTCGGTTTCCATTCATCCGAGCCAGAGTATCGATTCGATGAATAAACGAAGCCCTAATCGGTGGAGGGCAGGTCGGACTGGGAATCGATCTTAAACTCGAACTCGGCTAACGCGAGTTCACCAGAAGTCCGCAGTTTCGCCCCGCGACTATGACCCTTTACGTCCACCCTCTATATACGGCGAAAATGGTTCTCGTTCCTCGAAAGAAACTCCTGCCCTTAATGTTCTCACGGGCATTCGAGTGGGAGATATTTCTTGCAAAAGCACCGCTCCTCTGTCCCTCGGCGAGGAAACTTCGGCCATTGCGCCCCGCGGATTCCCGCGAAATAAAACCCGAGCAAAAGCCCAAAGAAATCTTTCGGCCATTTCGGGCCTCCAGAGACCAGGTCGAGCGAGTTTCCGCCCGTTTTTCTTAATATACTGTATTTCAGGAATAAGATCCCCGGCAAATTTCAACACCCCCTATCCTAACGGAACATTAATTTCCATTAATCGGGTAAAGTGATAAAAAATTACGGTCCCTTCATTCGTTAAATAATTCATGCAATATATTTGAAGAAGGAGGGGAAATCACCGGAAGTCAATATCTGCTCCTTTGATACTCGGTATATTTTTTTAACGCGGTGAAACTTTTACGTCGTGAATGGAATTGTATTTAGTTATCAGGATGAAGAGGCTTTCAAGATAAATTTTCTTTTCGCGAAGATTTCGTCGTTTTGCGCGGCCATAATATGAATAATCAAGTTTTACACGCAGAACAAAATTGAAGAATAAAACATTCTAGCCGTCTTCTTTCATTCTAATGGAATGACAATGTCCAATAATAATTCAAAACGATTAAAAATCATCGGATCGGACCATATAATATATTTTCGACGCAAAAAACTTAACGAGAAATTAACAATCGGCAGAAGAATGAGAGCTTCCTTCCATGTCCGGTATTTTTTTTTATAACGGGGTACGATTATTTTTACCGTGGATGAAATTGTGTTCGGTCATCAGGATGAAGAGACTTTCCAAGATGAATTTTTTTCCTGCGAGGATTTCGTCGTTTCGCGGCTATAATATGAATAATGAAATTCTACATGTGAAAAGGAATTAAAAAACAGACATCTTGGCAAACATTAACATCTTCATTCCAATGGAATGAAAATGTCCACTAATATATATAATAATAATTCAAAACGATTAAATATCATCGCATTCCCATATAATATATTTTCGACGCAAAAAACATAACGAAAAAATTAGCAATCGCCAGAAGAGAATGAGAGCTTTGTTTCGTGTCCGTTATTTTTTTTGACGGGGTACGATTTTTTTTACCGTGGATGAAATTGTGTTCGGTCATCAGGATGAAGAGACTTTCCAAGATGAATTTTTTTCCTGCGAGGATTTCGTCGTTTCGCGGCTATAATATGAATAATGAAATTCTACATGCAAAACGGAATTAAAAAACAGACATCTTGGCAAACATTAACATCTTCATTCCAATGGAATGAAAATGTCCACTAATATATATAATAATAATTCAAAACGATTAAAAATCATCGCATTCCCATATAATATATTTTCGACGCAAAAAACATAACGAAAAAATTAGCAATCGCCAGAAGAGAATGAGAGCTTTGTTTCGTGTCCGGTATTTTTTTTGACGGGGTACGATTTTTTTTACCGTGGATGAAATTGTGTTCGGTCATCAGGATGAAGAGACTTTTCAAGATGAATTTTCTTTCCGCGAGGATTTCGTCGTTTCGCGCGCGAATGGCCCTCGGTGTCGCTCGGCCACAACGCGGGTAATGAGATTTCTCGCGGGAACGAAGTTTCGCTCGCAATTTTCCAGGCGCGTTTCTGGCCGAAAGGTGCCGGAGAAAGAAATCGAGGTATTATCGAATTAGAGCAAAAAAGAAGGTCCGGGAGGTGTCGGGCCATCGACGACGCTTTTCTCGTCTTGACTCTTCGAGTGGCGGTCGTCTCGTCGACGATATTCGGCTTTAATTTTCCATCTCTCTCTCGGCGATATTCGCGGCGACGTCTTCTGGCAACTTTGACGGACGAGAGCGACGGGATGCTGCGTTAAAATTAGAATTCCCCGTAGCTACGCGAAAATCCTCCTTCAACCCCGCTGCACGCGGGGACAACGATGCTGAAGAGGGGTCTGGAAATATGTCTGCTTACAGGGGAAGCGAGACGAGAGTGCATCCACAAGGAGATGGAAGGAAGGAGAAGGAATCGGATTTCGCCGGCCACGCGAGGTAATAGGAGCTTGCGGGGAATCCTTCGGGAAAGTTTGCAAAATCCCGGAAACCGAAGACACGGACCGATCGTGACTTTCGCCCAGAATTCCTACCCAAGAAGGAAACGTTGTGTACTGGATCCACTTTGAACCGTACACGAGTTCTCTCCTCCGGTTAAGGTCTCGAGTTTGAGTTCTGGCACGTGTGTCGGTAACTCCAAGGAAAAGTGACTCCGAAAAGAAGTAATCCGGAGTTAAAGAGGACACTTCTCGAACTGGAAGGACGATTCTTGGGCACTTCTTTGTCTTCGAGGTATTACCATCGGATTTTCTAGGATGACACGGATCGTCGTTCTGAAGTTAATTCGAATGTAAGGGAGAGTTCTCGGGAGAATGATGAAAAGAGTCGAGGCTGCTCGAATCCGAAGAACGAGCCTCGGGGAACTTCATTGTCTTCAGGGTCTTCCACTCTTCGTGGAGTCCGGAAATCACGGATGGTCATTGCGGCATTTTGACGCCGGACAGGACATAGAGCAGATTTTTCGAGGAAAAGTGATCTTGAAAGGAGCACGTCGGCTCAGTATAAAGGACCGTGACTCCTAGGATGTAAAGAACGATCCCCGGGGTACTTGTTTCTCTTCAGGGCCTCAGATGTCTCATGGCTTTCAAGGGAACACGAATCGCTATCCTTTGAAGTTGACTGGAATCTTGTGGAGAACTTTCTCAGAGAATGATTCTAAACGGAATCCCTGGTAGAGATTGCAAAAGGTCGGTGCCTCCTCGAGACTAAAGAATGATCCTGAGGGTATCTCTTTGTCTTCAGGGTTTTAGACTTCTCGTAAGGTCCAAGAGAACACGAATGGCCATTTAGTCCCATTGACGCTAAATAAAGTATTGTGAAGCATTCTCTAGAATAATGATCCTAAACAAAATCCGCTTTTAAAAACTTCAATATGGCTCCTCGAGTCTAAAGAACGGTCATTAGGGTACTTCATTGTCTTCCAATTTTATGTCCAATTATCGTTTGAACGTTGACGCACACTAGATCGGCTCGAAAAGATTCTACAGCAAGATGGAATAGCAATTTCGGTTCGGTTAATACGTACGTATATATAAATGCCATTCGCAGTCAAAAAGTTGAAGCACAATATTTATATTTTTTCCGTACATTTATGAGACGACGTTGATTATAAACGGCCCAATATCCGTTTAAGGGTTAAAATCCTGTGCTTCATTCAGAATTTTTCCAAGTCGTTTCAATCCGATACGCTTCAATCTAAGAGGACGCAAATGGTGACTGATACTTCAGGACTGACCGAAAAGTATATACAAATTCCATGGAAAGTCACCCTAAACGCAATCCCGGGTCAAGAGTGAACGAGGAGTCGGACTCCTCGGGTCCGAAGAGAGGGTCCTCGGGGTACCGTTTTGTCTCCAGGATCTCCGAGAATTCGTAACGTCAAAGAAGATGCGAATCGTCCTGTCACATCTGACTTGACCGGCGCCAGCTATTAAGACGCGGGGCGAAAATAAATACGAAGCCGGACCTGTCCAGGTAAATTCCAGGCCTGGGGTCCGTCGGTGATTTATTGTCGAGGATCCTCCCTTTGTTTGGTCGAAAGACAAACAGACTCCTCTCTTCGTCCTCCCCGCCGGCTCTCGCTTTTTCGTCTCGTCCCTTAGCGAGGCGGCGTGCCTCGCTCCTTTATCTTTTCTCGTACTCATGAATAGTTTCTTTTCCTCCAGCGGGCAACAAGCGGGATCCCGAGATACGACGGAAAGGTATTTCGAACCTGTTCCCGGCTCCTGTGGGTACACCTCGAACCAATGGAACCAATGGAACCAGTGGAACCAACGCATCCCATGGAGCCAGAGGAGCGTTCGCTTACCCCTGCGATTCATCAGCCCTTTATTCCAGTTTGCGTGTGCATGTAAGTAATGGTAAATACCAGGAGTAACCAGTACACCATATGGGCACAGAGTTGGTACACGCGAGGGGCTATTCATTCGAAAATCAGAGAAAAGGGTTTCGTTCTTTAAGAACCGATTGCCTTTGCCCTTATATAATAAACCCCGCGATTCGGTAACAAGGGACAGTCGA